TATCATAAGTATAAAGACAGAAACTTAAAATGTTTTATATTTTTATACATATAGAAATCGCACATGTTAGTACGAATAAGAGATTATTGATTCATTATGATAAGTGCAACGTACTTTTCGTTACATTAGATATAACGCTAGATGGCAATAGGATATAATATTTCATATCTTTGATTATCTAATATGCTTGACAATAAAATTAAAACACGTATGTTTTTATTTTATTTAATGTTATTTGAAATATTATGTTTTAGCTACTGTAATCTAGCTATTGCTCATATATCCTAGTTTCACATTTACATTATTTAGTTACAAGTGAGCATTATATATTTAGTTTCATAAATAAAACATGTTTGTTTATAAATAAAACATAATTTCTTTGATTGCTTTTTAGTAGAGATGTCTGAATCTTTTGCTAAAACAGATTGTATTAAATATATTCATATTCATTATTATTTTTATGCAAAGTCATGTAATATAAATTGAAATATGATTTTATTACTGAAGTAATCCTAAATTATATATGTTTAGTATTAAATTGTTTTAGGTGCTCATTTGCATCATCGTCACTTTGACTTTTAAGAGACTTAAAACTCTACTGTCTCGTTTTAAAACCAAAAAAAGACAGAGGCAGAAAGAGTTTTAAGCCACGCTTAAAATCAAAGTAACATGGTATAACCGGGCCTTAGTAATTAAATTAAATTATTTTATCGAGTTAATAATAAATAAAATAGTATAGCACAAGTCTATCGCTATTTTAAAATATCATGTCTCTGGTCAATATCAAGTACAAAAATCAGTACAAAAATTTATAAATGCATTTCGAGATACATATTAAATTTTATACTTGTTAAACTATTAATAAATTCATTAAGATATTAATTATTGCTGAATGTTGTTGAAATAGATAGTTTCTGAAATGTTGATCTGAAAGATATATCGTTAAATATTACTGTAATGTACATCAGATATCTTATCATACTAACAGCTGAACAAATAATAATGTGATATAGTGTTGTAAACAATAATTAAACAATAATTAAACAAAAAACCATGTAATATATAAGAAATAATAATTATTTAAAAAATAAAATAGATTTTAAATTATAAAATTTTGTATAAAATTTTACGTATAAACTTAGAAAATTTCTTAACTACATATTGTAAAAATACATTTTATATGTATAATTGACATATACAATTATAAATTTACACATAATTATAAATAAATATAACTTAGGTTTATTTGTACATTTTAATCTAAAGATCTTACAAGTAAATTATATGATCTTGTTTTACGACAAATAGCTTTATTGCGTTTACTATTTATTACAAGTTTATATATTTTTGTTGATTTTAATTTTTCTGAGACCAATTTTATCTTAAAAGTGAAGAATTGATTAAAAAAAATCATCCCTTTTTAACATACTCTTTCTGTAAAATTAAATATTTTATAATTTTTTTACACAATTTTATACAGGATTTCTGAAAAAAAGGAATTAAATGTAATTCCAAATTAAATATATTTATGTAGCCTGGTTATATAAAATA